TTTATTTAAAGTAATTTGACAATTTAGATAAAACTGACAACTTTCTTAAGACACAAATTATCACAACTGATAAGATAAAATTTGAATTGTTTATATTTAGTTAATAAATTAAATTTGTAATTAAACTATTTTTCACAGAGAAACTCCAAATCTATGTCTCTTCACTACTGATTTTATCAAACATATAAGGAAAAAAATAATGCCAATTATACATGAATCTTCTCATGCTTCTTGAAGAATGTAGGTTAAAAGGAGCCATTTCAAAATAGCCAGAATATTCTATTTTTCTTAAGAAGGTTTGCCCTTACAAAGTGGATTAAAAAAAATCAAAGGACAGCCACATATTTGATTAAAAGAAACAGTATTTTAAAAAGCTAACAAAATAATATTTAAAGTTGGAATACATGAGTCAATGTAAAATATAGCACTGTAGCCTATGGTCAAGTTGTTCATATGGAGTTTCCTCAAAAAACTAAAAATGAAACTCCCATTTGACCCAGTGATCTCAATTCTGGGAATATATCCCAAGAAACTAACTAGAAACACCAATCCGAAAGGATATATGCACCCCTATGTTCATAGCAGCACAATTCACCATAGCTGAGATCTGGAAGCAGCCTAAGTGCCCAGCAGATGAATGGATTAGAAAACAGTGGTACATCTACACGATGGAATACTATGCTGCTGTAAAACAGAAGGAATTCTTCCCATTTGCAACAGCATGGATAGACCTGGAGAGCATAATGCTAAGTGAAATAAGTCAGTTAGAGAAACATAACTATCACATGATCTCTCTCATTTGTGGAATATAATGAACAACATGAACTGATGAACAAAAACAGATCCAGAGACAGAGAAGCATCAATCAGACCGTCAAACCTCAGAAGGAAGGTAGGGGAGGGTGGAGTTAATGGGCAGAGATCAACCAATGGACTTATATTCATGCATATAAGCCTAACCAATGGACACAGACAACAGGGGGATGAGGGCATGATCGGGGGGTGGGGGGACCAAGGGGGAATAAGGACACATATATAATGCCCTAATCAATAAAGAATATAAAAGAAATGAAACAAAGCTGTAGCACAAAAGAAAAGAAAAGAAAAGAAAATACTAATAGCAAAAAAGGCTACACTAGGGGAGAAACATCTGATATTGGTAGACTACATAATTTAAAACAAATTTGATACTGAAGACTAGAAAAGCTGACTGAAGCCACTGAATTTTGTAAAATACTAGAGGCCCGGTGCACAAAATCCATGCATGGGGTGGGGAGGTCCCCTCAGTCCAGCCTGCACCCTCTCCAATCCAGGACCACTTGGGGGAGGTCTGACTGCTGATTTAGGCCCGGTCCTGGGGATTGT